TAAAGTGCCTATTCACTCACACTTTCCTATCTTCACTGATTGGAAAAAACAAAGTGAAACAGTCGGGTGTATTTTTGTTCCTTTGGAGAGATTATCCTCAAACCATTGCTCTTTATGCTGTTAATGAAAGATTCTAGTGGACTCCTTTGGAGGGGTCTATTTATCTAACAGCTATGAGGAAGATTACTAGACAAGATATAGTTGTCTTAGATAGGAGAAATGGGACGCTTAGTGCTACTATATTTAGGTTGCAAAAAAAAAACAAACCCAGATGCAGTAAAAGTTTAGGGTTTTCTATAGCTGTTTCCTGCTATCTAACAATGGCCTCTTTTTGTTTTTGGCTTCTGGGTTCTTTTTTCAACCAAATATGATAGCTTTGCTGCAGCTGGAAGTGAAAACTGAGCTGATCAAAGGAACAGGTTAAATGAATTAAGTGATAGTACCCACATTTCACAAAGGCAATGAAGGCATGACTTTTAGCTTGAAGTTCTTTTGGTAATGACAAGAAAGCCTGCATTCATACTTGATACTAGAGAATAACATGGTTTACAATGGCTAGCCCACACATGAAAACAGATTATATTTTAATATGATTTGTGGACCAGGGGTGCACAATATGATTGTGTTTAATATGATTGTGACCAGGGGTGTCAAACTCGTGTCGTTGCGTCGTTGCGACTTTTTCCCCTTCACTAAACCAGGTGTGGGCGTGGTCAGTGCATAACACATCTGGCCCGCAGGTCACGAGTTTGACACCCCTGACCTAGACCTTGTATTTTCTAAATTGTGGTTTGCAGTTTAACACATTGTGTGAATTAACCCAAAGTTCATTTGACATTCAGAGTGACAAGTAAACTACACAGCAGGTTTACAGGATATCAAGTTAATTCAGAGTCCTATGGTCCAAGAGTCCAAAAATCCAATTTAGATAGCTGAATAACAATCTGCATCACACTTCATGAACACACCTGAGCTATGGATTAACAATGTTTAAGCAAAATTGGCTAGTATTCTTACATGCAAAACTCTCCATTTTTTATCATGTTCCAATGAGGCAAAACCAGGGCACATTACATTCTGCTTTATCAGGTAACTGCAAATGAGGTGTGTTGCAATTACTTATCAACAGGTGACAGCACAAAGGTTCCTACACAGTAGAACCCTTATGCTTCTGGCCACCTTCAGCCAATAGAAATGGTTAAATACCGATACCTCACAGACAAAACTGATTTTAACCAATGAACATTAATGGACCTATTTGTCATTTTAGCTAATGGGAATTTGGAGCATAAGAGGGAGGGAGGGAGGGAGAGGGGAGAGAGAGGGGGGGGGAGAGAGAGAATCCTCTAGTAATAAGATCTAGTATTAACTTATTGTTCAGGGTGGAACAATCACAGTAGACTAGTAGCTTCTAGTACACAGTATCTTATTTTCTTCTCTCTACTGTTTCAGGTTCAGATATATTATTATTTTTCTGAATTGTGATTGGTGCATCTGAAGGGTCAGTGGGCTTCCAAGATGCCAGTCTCATCTTGGGTAGGTCATTGTAAAATCATGACTTGTATAGAAGTTTAATTTTTAGTCTGTATTTTACAAAGCAGATAAATAAAACTGTTCTCATAATAGTCTTGTGCAAGTTAACTCTGATGAATTGGAGATTTGAGATATGAAAAAGGTATGGTTTCATTCAGATTTGTGATTTCCTGTGTAATATCACTGATATTACCTAGTTGGGTAATGAAATGTCTGCAAGAAAACAACCAAGCTCAGAAAGCACCAAGGACACCATAGATTTGTGATTTTAGATTCAAAGACATGTGGATTTAATGTGAACTGCATTGATGAGGTTACATAAAAAATACATCGGCTGTAATATGGAAACATTCAAAATCTTGTAATAGCTTCATTTTGGGAAAGACCTGGACAAAAAATAACATGCACATTACCAGACATTAACCCTGTCATTTTTTGTGTTTCTGATGCTTTTCTGAGGAACAAGCAGCAGGGATGAAAAAAAGAGTACATAATCTTCCACTTGGTTCACCAAAATGTCTTTTCTGAATAAATACAGAAATTATCTCCATCATCTTAAACAATTGTTCAGTTGTTGTTTTTTAAAAACCCTATTTTTGAAAATTAGTTCTTCTATCTTAGCTTGCATGAGATTGAAATCGAATCATTGATTTGTTCTTGCAGAGAAAATATGTCCTTTGGGGGAAGGACAATTGAAAGGAAAGCTTGATCTTTCCTGGAAAGCACTTCTCTCCCCACACACCCATCATCAGCTTTAATGAGATGCCAGGATGGACAGGGCAAATTGATAAAGCTTGTCCTGGACAGGGTTTGGTTTTATTCAGGTTGTCTCTGGCTGGCAATATTCTATGTGTTTTACTTAGCATAGGCATCAGCAATGTGGTGTAGTGAGATAAGCAGGCTACAGAGAAAATCTGGCACAAACAAGAGGACATTTATAGCCGCATCAACCCCTGAAAGCAATTGATGTTTGGTCCAGCAGCTGTTGTGTTAGCCTAAAGTCTATTTATTAATCAGAGACTGTAATGCCTTAGCTATGCAGAATGTAAAGTAAGATTTGATCTTAGAGCAAACCCTGGATTGGTCAATCCCAAGTCCACACTCACATCACTGAGAGTTGAGTTGAACAGAAATATCACATTTTATTAGCATAATAGAGGGTAAAGTTTAAGGGTGGTTACACCCAACGAGCTGAGAAAGTGAAGGAAGCTTAAAGTAGAACACTGATAGGTAGTAACTTTAAGTGAAAAATCCATTGCTCAATTATTCATAGTGTCAGAGTCCATTTCATATTCAACCCCGCCCTTCCAGGATTCTCCATATATGGGGAAATGAAGTTACAATATTATAGAGTGTCTATGTCTATGAAATCTGTAATAAAGCCAGAAGCAGCTGGAACAAACAAAAAAAAAAAATCAAATCTGTGGCATGTGTGCATGGTCTGGAGCACTTTGTTGCCATTTAATTTGATTTGTTGCATTGAAGTAGGTCTCTGATTCAATCATTCTGCATTGAGAGATAACTTTGCCGAATTGATATGCCCCTTCAAAGTTTTGCATAGTACAGAATACTTTTTTTCTTCTCATAATGACAAAACTCTGGATGCTCCCCTGAAAATAACTGCATGATGATTCTGAAATAATAAGGGCATTTTATTTTTGTTATTTGCTTTTTCCTAATGCTTAATTAGACTACAAAATGCACTGGCAACAGTTATAGAGATAACCTTTGGTTCAGAATGTCTATGGAGATTCTCAGTCATCCAGGTTGTGGTTGTTCCAAAGGTGCTTTTTTCAAGAGGCAACTGGACATTCTAGTTTTTCTTTGAAGACATTTCACTTCTCATCCAAGAATCTTCTTCAGTTCTGGAGCTCAAGAAGCTTCTTGGATGAGAAGTGAAATGTCTTCAAAGAAAAATGCTGCTGCCCTACAAAGCAACCTTGACTATGTGTCAGAATGGTTGCGCAATTGGCAATTCCAATTCTCAACTAATAAATGCTCTGCCCTACACATTGGCAATAAAAATCAGAACACTAAATACAAGTTGGGTGGAAACAACCTCGTAGATGACCTTCACTCTGTCAAGGATGTAGGAGTACTCAACTCAAATGATCTAAGCCCCAGAGCTCACTGTAATAGCATTGCCAAAAAAGCATTAAGAGTTGTTAACCTAATTTTGCGAAGCTTCTTCTCCAGTAACATTGTATTGCTAACTAGAGCATAAAAAACCTTTGCCAGACCAATTCTCAAATACAACTCATCTGCCTGGAATCCACACTGTATATTGGACATTAATACACTTGAGGGGGTCCAGAGGTATTTCACGAGAAGAGTATTCCACTCCTCTACTCACAATAGAATCCCTTATGCCATCAGGCTTGAAATTTTGGGCTTGGACAATCTGGAACTGCACCACCTGTGGTCCGATCTAAGCATAGTACACAAAATTGTCTGCTACAACATCTTACCTGTCAACTACTTCTTCAGCTTCAACCACAATAATACACGGGCAAACAATCAATACAAACTCAAGGTAAATCACTTCAAACTCGATTGCAGAAAATACAACTTCAGCAACAGAGTGGTCAACACCTGGAATGCTCTACCTGAGTCCGTTGTTACATCCTCAAACCCTCACAGTTTCAATCTGAAACTGTCTACCGTGGACCTCACCCCATTCCTAAGAGGTCTGTAAAGGGGGCATGCATAAGCGCACCAGCGTGCCTATTGTCCCTGTCCTATGTCCCCATTCATTTGTATTCATTTCCTTCATTCATGTTTATGTTCATACTTATACCTGCTATCTTGTACATATTTGACAAACTAATTTAAAAAAAAAGAATTTTTAGAAAAATTAGAAAAACCAATTGCCTCTTTGAAAAAAGCATCTTTGGGACTTTGATTCAGAAACCATTTACTCTAGATGTTTCAGAAAGGGGACTGGACATAAAAACTTCAAGTTATCAATGGCTGCTAACTTAGTGTCAGTTTACTACCTCCAAAATCTCAGCCACAGATTCAATACTTACAGTAAATACACTTATACCAGTAAATACCAGTTGCTTGGAAGCATCAGAAGGCTATTACCCATGATTGTGCATTTTCCTAAATCCATCTGGTTGTCCACTGGATATACAGTAGAATTTTGGACTTGGTGGGCCATTAGGACTCAGCGCTATGGACTCCAGCTGCCATGACAGAACCACACCATCCTGTATGATCGCTATCTGTACAATGACTGAGTTTAGAAAGATTGCTGCTATTTTAAATTTCCCAAAAAGCTTAGAGAGTACTTAATTATCACACTAAAGTGATAGCTCTAGGGCAGCAATTAGTGATTCAGAAAGAAACTATTGCTGGTAAGCCCACAATAACAGGAAAGAGTGTTTACAATCACAGGAAGTAGTGATCAGTATTTGTTATACTGATTTCTTGTTGCTAAATTGATTTCCTCCATAATATTTTGTCTTTAAAATATGCTTCTTTCTTGCACTCTGATGGCTGATTTTTGAGAAGGGGAGGTTTAATGTAAGAAATAGGCCTATTCTGCAATGGTAAGCAATTTTTTTCTTCCCTTGATCAGCATTTTGATTTGGTTTGGATTCTTTTGAAAGCTTTGAAAATGAATATACAAGTGAATGTACTCTGGTAGAAAGAATAGTATCACTATGAAAGATTTGTTATAGTGGTACAAGTTTTCCATTAATGCTTCAACTTTCTACATTTACCACAATAGTTTAGTTAAATGGAAAACACACATTTTTTCCAGCTGACTCGGATTTATTTTTATTTGTTGTAGCTTGTACCTAATCAACAGTTTTATTTGGCAAAATGTGGCTTGTTATAAATATGGAGACCATACAATCCAAACAATCAGAAACTGACTAAACAAAGTATGTGAAGAGAGAATGTCACTGAACACAAGTTTATTTTCAGTGGCAATTATTTTTCCCATTACTTGAATATTTTGTGCATGCTTGTTTTTTTGGATACACAGACTCTTGCTCTGAATTGTTTATTGCTTTTTGTGTTGGGCATGCAATCTTTGGGCACAGGTTTAGGTGCTTAATTTGTTTGCATGTGGAAAAGACTCTCGTTTAGCAGTGAATTAGACTAGAATAATTTTGCTAAGCCATGCCTGATGGGTGGTCAGTTCAATCATCTATGAAATAGGATGCCCTATATGCAAAGTCAGGTTTTGTTTACTGCTACATGATTTGTTGAGACACAGAGATGTACAATCCTACATCCAACTGTTATTTCCATTATGCACATACATTCAGATTGTGTATTTGTAGATGTATTTTGTAAATTTTAATCATAAGTTGTTTTGAGTACTTAATTAAGCAGAAAGATAGGGGATATATTTAAAAAAATAAACACATCAAGTGCTTTCTATTTTTTTCCAGTGACATGGTTTTCCATGCAATAAAACAGGAGGATCTGGCCAGTGCTTAGATTTTTTTCTTATATGAAACCTGTATCTGAGCAGCAATGTTACCATAGTCTGTCATGAAGATAAAATGCCACAGGATCATAACTGGCTGGCTCAGATGCTCATTTAAGCAGAACGTTCCAATCTTTTCAGACCAAGAACTGAATGTAATATTCCATGGACCACAGTTGTATAACATGGTGAGGCTTAGGATAAAAGTTTAAATGCAATTTAAAATAATTTTTTAAAGTAAACATTAATTATGCTTCTTCCCCATGCACTGAGTAAGCTTTCATTTCAAACATTTTGGAGTTTAGAATTTACAAAAAGTTTTGAAAGAGCTTAAGGGAACTGCAGATTGTGTGCCCAATCTTTTGGTGTTGAAAACTGCATGTGATTCTCGTGGAATCTACTAGAAGTTGACTATGGACAGAACAAAAGATAAATGGCAGTTGTATAAACTGCATGCACTTCCTTTCATAACCAGAGCCCTGTCAGCTCAAGTCTCTTAACTTATGTAGAATATCCACCATTTCATGCTTCTGAAAATGGCTGTGTGGGAGTAGCAGAGGGCTAAGAATAAAGTCTTCAGCAACAGAAAGCCAGGGAGCTGGGAGAAAGAAACAGAAAGCCGGGAGCCAGCTGCACTGGCTCCCGGTGGTCTTCCGGGTGCGCTTCAAGGTGTTGGTTATCACCTTTAAAGCGCTCCATGGCATAGGGCCTAGCTATCTGCGAGACCGCCTGCTGCTACCGACGACCTCCCATCGACCCGTGCGCTCCCACAGAGAGGGCCTCCTCAGGGTGCCATCAGCCAAACAATGTAGGCTGGTGACCCCCAGGGGGAGGGCCTTCTCGGTGGGGGTTCCCACCCTCTGGAATCAGTTGCCCCCGGAGATAAGGAGAATCCATGACCTCAATGCCTTCCATCGTTCCCTTAAAACCCATCTTTTCCAGCAAGCCGGGTTGGCTTAAGAAGAAATTTTTAAATTCTTTTAATCAGTCTGTGATTTCTTAACTTTTGGGCCAAAATTTATATATATTTTTAAATGTTTTTTAATATTTGTATTCTATGTTTTTTATCTTGGCTGTACACCGCCCTGAGTCCTCAGGGAGAAGGGCGGTATATAAATTGGAAATTACAAATTACAAAGGAATGGGGGCATGATGGCTCAGCAGTTAAAGATGCTTAGCTTGTCAGCTGGAGAGCTGACAGCCTGGGTTCACGACCCAAGTGCTGTGCAATGGAGTCAGTTCCTGTTACTTGCCCCAGCTCTTGCTCACCTAGCAGCTCGAAAGCATGCAAATGCAAGTAGATTAATAGGTACCATTTCTGTGGGAAAGTAACAGCATTCCATGCGCCTTTGGCATATAGCCATGTTGGCCACATGACCGTGGGAGTTGTCTTCAGACAACACTGGGTCCCTTGGCCAAAAAATGGAGATGAGCACCATGCCTCAGAATCAGACATGACTGGACCGGGAAATTGGTACCTTTAACAGGGAGGGAAAGCAATCTGAGGTTCTAATTCTTGGTCTAGGCTGCACACATTCTGTGTATCCTGGGTATTTATACAGATATTCCTCCTATTGTAGTGGTTTTTAAAATGGTTAGATTCAAAGAAAACAATATAGTAAATATGAAAGAGAAAAAAAAGGAAAAAATAGATAGAAAAAAGAAAGAAAATAAAAGATCAGAAAACATGAAAAAAGAAAAACAAATGACTTCCAATTTTCTTTTTTGCAGTTATACATACAATTCTAATCTGAACCTCTGCTGTTTAAAACTAAACATTACCCTTTGAAAATAATTCCATCTAAAGGTTTGGAGCGTTTTCAGAAGAGAAGACCAGGGGGGGAGATATCTGAGAAAAGGTTAAGTCCCTGTCTAATTTTTGGGATTGGGATGAAGATAAAAATAGGCACAGATTTATAGAGTTTATAGGATTAATACACAATTTACAAAATTAAGACATGTTCCAAGGAGTATATTTATCAGGAAAAAAGACTAGAGATCAAGTTTTGCTGCAGCACTTTAATTCTAGATTGAGGATTGAGGATTCAGATACAATTGCACTTAAGGAAATTTCAATTAGAATACTGCACAAGAGAAAATATTATTTTTTTCTGACAAAAAAGGCCACAAAAAGCCCAGAACCGAGTAGATGTGATTCTACTGAGCTGGAGCTACAAAAAAACCTTGGCTACGTAGGGAAAACCTGGCTAGAAGAAAAACACACATAAACCCTACGAAGAAGTAAGAAAATTGATACTGTGCCTTTACAGGGAGGATATGGGTGTGGCCTACTGATGACAGCTAATGAGCTAGAAATGGATCTATTTAGGTCTCCCACCTAGCAGTTAGAGCTTGCTAGGTGTTAGAAAGGAAAAAAGCCCAGAACCGAGTAGATGTGATTCTACTGAGCTGGAGCTACAAAAAAACCTTGGCTACGTAGGGAAAACCTGGCTAGAAGAAAAACACACATAAACCCTACGAAGAAGTAAGAAAATTGATACTGTGCCTTTACAGGGAGGATATGGGTGTGGCCTACTGATAGCTAACGAGCTAGAAATGGATCTATTTAGGTCTCCCACCTAGCAGTTAGAGCTTGCTAGGTGTTAGAAAGGAAAAAAGCCCAGAACCGAGTAGATGTGATTATATTATATATATATATATATATATCAAATCAGAAGGCAAAATGTTTTTCGTCACAATTACATTGCAAACAATTAAACAGCCCACTTTGGCCTGTTTCTCATTTTGATGTTCTGTTCCTTTTTTTCTGGATTCTTGTTGAATAAAATTCAAAATATTATAACATATACACATATATAAAATTACATAAAATTGTTTTTCACCCAGTATAATTTGCTTCTCAAAGTATTTGCAGTTCCTACTTTCTCAAAATTGAATTCAACTGAAATAAAAATTTGGTTTTATTACTGACATATTTAAAAATGCTTTTTGATGTTAATACAATTATCCAAGATTCAATAATATTTTTGGATATACTTGCAAATAGTAAACTTTGTGTTTAATTAACCAGCAATCAAGTTTTTGTATGGTTAGGTTGCACTTAAAATTATCTGCATATTTAATGAAAGCATCATCTGAAATCATACAGACAATAAGTTTATCAGGCCAAATGAAGTTTTACAAAATTCCTGCAAGATTTCAAGTTTCAGGATGTCTTCCTTAGGCTTCTTTGGTTAGAAAATAATCTGTTTATTTTAACAGCATAAGAAAAGTTCAATTTTTGTTCAAAATTATTTCCCAATCCTCTAGTTCGATATTAATTTATAAATTTATAAAAATTATAAATTAACCAGATCGGCAAAATATAAAGAAAATCAATATAAAATGTTTTACCATTGGTACTTAGCACCCTCTAGACTGGCAAAAATATATCCAAATTTAAACCCCAATTGTTGGAAATGTGGACAAAAGTAAGGTACCTTCTTTCACACATGGTGGTTATGCTCCGAAACAAAAAAATATTGGATGAAAATACATAGTTGGATACAGGAAGTAACAGGCTTCTAGATAGAATATACACTAGAATTGTTTCTTCTAGGAATAATGAAAAAGAAATATGAAAAAACAACAACATATATTATTCTACATATGACAACGGCGACAAGATTGGCATTTGTGCAATGTTGGAGAAGTTCAAACATACCCTCCGAAGATTTAATAATTAGAAAGATATTAGATTGCACCGAGATGGATAAAATGACATTGGAACTGAAAGGTCTGATGGATTTGGACTTTTATGTAATATGGGAGAAATGGTATACTTGGATTGAAGATAGAAAAAAAGGGAAATAACAGATAGTAGATTTTGTAAAATTATATATAGGAGAACATTAGTGTAATGATATGTAAATGGTCACAGTCATGCACAACAGTTGAATAAGAATTGTTTAATTGTTAAAACCCAATTAAAAAAAAAGAAAAGAAAAGTTCAATTTTAACAGCTGGCATTTATGTTTCCTAAAATGCAAAGATTTATAAATCTTTATTTACAGTGCTTCTTCCCATTAAGTTTTGGCAGGTACTTTGTTACAACCCAGTTCCATGTAACCAGTTCCATGTCTGAAGCTCTCTAACTAATGTATATTA